TGAATGATAATTAGCATACATAGTTCAGACATGGTCAAGGATGTAAGGCCAGGTCCTTTTAGGCCTTGTTCGTGAGATCTGGTGGAGCCTTGTTGGAAAGTCCCCAAAAGATCAATTGATACTAATAATTCGATTTCAAGTTCCAGTGCAACTGTTCATAAAAATTGGCTATCACTTTGATTTCCTGACAATATGCTAGATGAGGAAAGAGGTAATCCTTAAGGCAGAGAGCATCAGGGTTGATCTGATTGGGGATCAGGAGGACCTCACGGGAGAATGAATGTGCATTCTCTGCAAAAAATCTCAAGGGGATTGTTTTTGACTCTCTGGTATGTGTTGGACACACAGGGCCTAAAATATAGAGAGTTCACACTCCTCCACATGACACATGCCTTCCTAAGAATCTGGTCTCTAAGTTTTTTTCTGCCTTCAGCTTACAAATTTCTTATGATGTTCCCGCAACTCCAAAATGCTGCACTCTAGCTATATCAAATGCCTTGTGAATCTCTAAACATTTGTCCTTTCATTAGCATGCCTGTGTTTATTGAGAGCATCCAAAATGCCAGGCAATGTTCTCATCATCAGGGTAACACCGATAACCCAGACAAAAATGTTTCTCCTTATGGAGTTTACATATGATTTTAGATAAATCATACAATCTCTCAGAACATCACATAATTAATTGAGGGACAGGCTAGAAGAAAAACTTAAGTGTGCATAATTTTACAGTACATGCTTTTTTGGATACAGTGTTGCAAGTGCTTTTTAGAGAAATTCTTGGGTTTTAATTATAGGAACAGAGATGAAAAGTACCCGATTTTCCCCCTGAAGATCTAGGAGGACTTCAGAGGTACATAATATTTAATCTGAACCTTAAAGAATGAGTAAAGGTGGAAGGAATTAAAAACTGAGGGAGATACACATAAAGAGGCTCTGAGGCTTGGAGTGTGCAACAGCAACTGGCTCTGGCGTTGCCAGAGCATAATTTAAATGGCAACATGCTGACCTTATTCTGATGACCCCTCCTCATCATGCTTATTCAGATCAACCCTGATTTTCTCTGCAGTCAGGATGAGATCCATTTTCATAGCTAATAACACTTTCCTGAAGAGGCTGCATTTAGATTTAAAAGACATAGTATAAAAATATAATTATGTCATGGGTCCAGTTTGGCAGCCTGACACATTGTAGCTACTCAAAAAACACTATTTTTTAAATTAAAAACAATTTTTCTGAGGTCAGTGACTGGCATAAGGTTGATGCTTAGTAAAGCGTTTATTGAGTGAATAAATGAATGAATAAATCATAAACGCCTGGTCATGGCTTCGGGGGTAGCAGGGACAACTGTTTGAAGGAGTGAAGACTACTCAGTAGGCAAGGAACAGGTGAGCAAATTGCAACACCATTAGTGGGTGTCCTGTGCTTTGTGAATGGAACCCCCAGACCTGTGCAAAGGCGTGTCCATGTACGGTGGCCCTGAGAGTACAATAAACTGCAAGTCATAAGAGTTTTCAGCCATTTAAAGGTATACTTAGGGTTTGGGGAGCTAAAGTTAGAGGATAATTGTTGAACTTTATTTCTCTGCAGACCCCTCTAGTCTAGTCTGACCTGAGATACTGTGCTATAATTCTATAGCACATTGGAACTGCACAGTCAAATGTATCCCTGAGGTGTATAAATCGCTTTCTTTTCTTTGCACACCTGGCCATCTCCTCCAACCACCAGCACGAGCAGCCCAGTGACTTTGGGAGGCACACAGGAAGAAGGAAGAAGACGTCTGAAGGAATACAATTAAGAAATGTAATAAATTGTAACCCTTCCTTAGTTTCTAGCCAGCTTCCCTCCTTTTCTTTCAAAGAACTACAATTTTCACACAACACTTCCACCCTGTCCTTTATCCTCCTACTGATTCTAATTAAATCAGATTTCATATTCAATGAAGGTGGGCACAGGAACAGGCAACGAAGGGTTCTATCACCAAGCCCAGTTACAGTCCGGGATTTTTATATCACATTTGCCATTATTGATTTGTTCCTGCCATCTCCACCTGAAGACAGAGAAAATGCTCACCAGGTCCCCTTCGGTAGGACTTGCTTGAATTTCTGCGAGAAGGCAGAAATGCACTTGTATTAAGCATGTAATATTAAGGATTGTGGTTCAGGTGAAATTTTGCTGCAGTCAGGGCAGAAAAGGGCAGAGAACATGGCAATGTTCAAGATGGGGTAATCACAAATCCCACTTAGCATTAAGTGATTAACAGTCACATCTCAGAGCCATTATTGCCAGGGATGCTGTTTAATAGCGCTGTGTGGCTGCTCAGTGGGAGAACCATTTTCAGCTCCAATGCAAGTGGGGAACATCTCTGCCTGACAAAACCATTTAGTTCTTATTCTATCCTACACAGCCACAGACTTAGCTACCCAGAGCCACGAAGTGCTCAGGTTGTAGAGATAGATCTGAGGCCTAAAACAGCCTTTCCTGGATTTAATAAATCAAGTCTCATAACTACCTGTGTAATAGTAGCCTGAAGTGAGGAAGGGATAGCCCCGTACCAGAGCAACCCAGGACATAAGAAGAGGATACAAATTTGATAGAACTCTTCCCTCTATCATACTGGATAAAAGATACCTTAGCTGCCCTGGCTGGCATGGCTCAGTGGATTGAGTGGTCACCTGCGAACCAAAGGGGTCACCAGTTCAAGGGGTCAACCAGTTCCTGTGCCCAGTCTAGGGCACATGCCTGGGTTGCAGGCCAGGTCACCGGTAGGGGGTATGTGAGAGGCAACCACACATATTGATGTTTCTCTCCCTTTCTTCCTCCCTCTCTTCCCCTCTCTAAAAATGAATAAATAAAATCTTTTAAAAATAGATAACTTAAGCTTCTTGGTGAGAGGAACTGGAGACTTATTCTCAAACCTTAATCACTATTTATATAGGGGCATAGAGACTGGTGTAAAAACCGTACACAGCTCTCCTTAGAGTGTTTGATGCTTTTAAATATCTTTACAAAACCCCTAATTAAAGGAATCCACTCAGATTGGAAGAACTTGGCTTTATATTCTCAGGTCTACCTTAAATTATTTCATATGGTTTCATACCTGCTCCCCAAAACATATTCTTCATATAGTAGCCAAGAGATCTTATTGATACTGAGACCATGGTTCACTTCCGATCAAAATCTATCAATAGTCTCAAGAGTTGCTTGAATTCTCTACCAATTCTAAAAATAATATGCTCATAATGAAGCAGGACAGTGAGAAGCTAGGAAAATTCCTTAGCAAGTGGAATAGGGAAACTGAGACACAGAGCTGAACACAATGGCTGAGCAATTTACAGCCGGACACAGAAGGCCACCTCCCTGGAAATAACATCTAGGCCTCAGTTGTGTTTCAGGTCCAGGTCCAGAACAGCAGCAAAACCAGGTGGGTGACAACAGGACCAGCTGCAGTGACTACTGACTCCCTTCCCTAGTGCTGACCAATGAGTAGAGACCACTACCCTGAAAGAGCCCACCTGGAAAACTTATGAATGTTCCGCTGAAACCCTCCCCTAAGACCTCCCTTTAGATTCCTGTCTGCAAGAGGGAGATTAAAGCCTCAAGACAAAGGACCAGTGGTGTGCTCCCCACTGGGGAGCAGCTTGCTCTGCTTCCTTCCCTCTCTTCTAACCCCTCACACACCCATCTCCTAACCTCTAAGAGACTGGGAGACTAGCAGTCGGGGGAGAAATGGGCAGCAGCAGCTTGTCCCAGGCTAATCCCCTGAAACTGTCCCCAGCGAGTTTCCAGTGAGCTAAGGCAGCCCTGCCTAGCCCCTCCTGTTGTTTCTACACTAAGCCCTCCCTTGTTTCACTGTCTCCAGCTTTAATAAAGTATCCTCATGGTAACCTGGTCTCATGTTATAACATCTTCCCTGCACGAAGTCAAGAGCCTGCACCCTGCCGGCTGGCCCCAGGGAGACTCACTTAGGGCCAGGCCCTCTGTCTGGTGACAATATGGTGTAGACATCAGATTTTGCACAGACCTACTTGGATCACACCCACAAACTTTTAAGTGAACACAAAGAGACTTTTGACCTGTTACAAGTCTCACACTTTACTTTGGGAACAGGACCTATGGGCATTATTTAAGATTTATTGATTTTATTTACACACAAGTTTCCCAAATTAGGTATTTTATTATACAACCTAAAAGCAACAAATTGGAGATGTTCAGAATGCAGGAAGCATGTACAATATAGCAGAGATCAAATAGTGTAAGAGAGGAGCAATGGACAGAAAGAAGGACCTTTGAAATTTATTGTGATAGTTAATAGTTGTAAAGATCAGAACTACAAAGAAAAGGTTAAATTATTCAGAAGATTCTAGTTTTTAAAAAGCAGGGACAGGTATGACATTTTAGAAACATTTTTATCTTAAATTTCTGAAGTAAGAAATTGAACACATAAATGTGAGTATGTTTTGAAACCTATAAAATTAACATAAAGACTTATTTTTCCAAATTGTTCTACATAAATGATGTATTATTCTTGACTGGAATCTTTAAGTAAAAAATTCTAACTTTTTAAAACTGTGATGAAATGTAAAATTCCAATTTAAGGAGCTTTGTGGGCTGTATTAGATCAAACCAAAGACTTTTCAAAGTAGCATCGAAGTACATTTTAGGTTTGATCTGAAGAACAAAATCATCTTAAATAGTATAAGATAATATTAACTAAGGGACTGAGTGCTGGGAATAGGTGGCAAATATTTTACAAGAGAAACACCTACTACTTTCAGTAACTTATAAGAGTTGTTTTTAATTTACCCAATCACTAATGTTACCTATATACTGTTAGGTACTTGAGTTATCACTATGTATGTAATCAAGTCCTACCTTTGCAGGTTCTTAGAACATAAATTTGGTAACTTTGTAAACTTGTTTCAATAAACTGAGTAATACTTTGTTTTGTATATGACTGCAGGTCAAATAAAAAGCAGTGTGTTGGTGTAACTATTACTTACTGTGGTAGCACAATGAATGTCTTTCCACACCACGGCTTCCCTGGAGAGATCAGAGACATCGAACAAATTCTCCAGAATCACTTCTCCAATCATGTCATGTCTAGAAAATCTGTCAAAGTCATATATACTGAAATGTAGTTTTCGGTTGCTTAGTTGATCATATGCTACAGGAAACTGAAACGTTTCATCAAACACGGGGTTCAAAGTCTTTCTGTGCACACGGGTCTGAAATTTCTTTTTCCTATCTGGAAGAAGGTACATCTTCACGTAAGGGTCAGAGGTTCCTGTGAAGTCTTTAGCAGGAAGGTCTAAGGCTTTGATCATTTTAACAACCAGAAGTTCATTTTCATAATCATACTGGAGGGTAAAGTTAAGTTTCCCACAGATTTTGACGTCTTCCTTCCTGTTGCCCTCTGAGTCAACCGATTTCTGTTTGTAGAGCTCTGGTTTGATCCTCCCAATGCTGGTGGTGGTTTCTCCTCTCTGTAAGACGGGTTCTGTGCCCATGCTGAAGTCAACGCTGGAAACCTGCATTTGCCTTGGCAGGTGTCTCCTGAAGGAATTGTGGCTGCACACACACACACACACACACACACACACACACACAAAATAATTTAGACAGACTATTGGAGACAATATTAAACAGTGGCGTATACACTGTCTCCCACCCCCAGGATAATGAAAACATGTCAGTAGAAGATAGACACACCCACGCACACTTTTGAAAAACCAAAAATGCAATATTCAAAGTAAAAGTCTCCTAAAGTTATAGAAACACTTGAAACAGACACAGATAAATATTTTTGAGCTTTTGAAATTTTGTAATTCTCATTCATAAGCACTAATTAAATACAGTCATAAAGAGACACAATTACCAACAAAGTTCAATATTTCACAAAATACTATGAATCATCAATCATTTGGGTGTATCTAGAGGTAAGAATTATGTAGAGAAATCATACAGGTGGCTGGTTTCCTTTCATCTGGATCTTTATGTCTCGTGTGTTTCATGTTTTAGTGACTACAGCATTAAAATAAAACACAAGTCCCCATTTTATTATAGTGTGTTAATTATTTCTAATACTTAAAATAACTAAATGACTATTTACTTTAAAAAAGAATATAGAGGTGTGACAGCCCAAATGATCACATTTTGCTTTTTTCAACATTGAGTGGGCTTCAGAAATTTTAGGGATTAAAAAACTGTAGCCTGAGAATTCGAGACCAGCACAATAAAGTTTTTAAAATTCCAATGGACTTTCCTATAGTTACTGTTACTATTCATCTAGTCACCATTTCCAGAACATTAACCATATATATCTACATTGACCACCTATACCTCTCCTCACTACTGTCTTGTAAATGTGACTCATATGAAGATCTGCTTCTCTGATACTTCTCCCATGATTTCTTTCTGGCATAAGCTATGCCAATTATGTATCTCCTCAAAACTTAGTCCCAGGTCTTTTGTTTTTTTCTTTCCTCATTTTGTCCATTACACTAATCATCAGTTCTCGGACTATAATTATTATTTTGAATCTGATGGTTCCCCAGGTATACCTCAGATACATAAATTTCCAGTTTCACGTCTCTATTATTTCCAAGGTAGATTTCTAAATGGATGTCCTAATTTTTCCCCAATCTCAAGCAAACTCATTATTTTCTCCCCATTGCTCTCAAACTAGTTATTTCTTCCACAGTCTCTAACAATAGTGCTAACATTTTTATCAGTCACTCATGTTAGGACACTTGCAGTATGCTTTGAATTGCTTTTCCTTTATCCATGGGATTTACTCAATTTCGAAATCCTGTTGATGTTTGCTTTGAAAGAAGCATCTTTTTTGGCTAGTTATGATAAATTGAAAGACAGCAAAGATGTTTAATTTGTATGTTATGAGACTTGTACAAAATTCTTATTAATTCCACAGTTTCTGTAGTTTTTTATTTGATAAGAAACATGTTTGAAAATACCAAGTAGAAAAGTGAAATCTGTAATTTATGCTCTATTATGCAATCAAAACAGATTAAGAATAATAAAAATTATGTCTATATAAAGAAACATAATAGGACTACTCCATCTCATATGCAGCAATTAGCTCCTAATTAAAACCATACTAAATTTAAGAGCCAATATTTCAGTTTCTGCATCTAAGTAAATATATATGTCTTTACTGACTTAGAGCTTGAAATGGTCTTTTTACAGATTGGTCTCATTTAAATGCATTAAATATGCTATTAAATATATTTTGACCTTGCATTTTCCCCAGATATATAGGATAAGAGGCTAAACTGGAGTCAGGGAATCGTCAGAGAGCATTTATGAAAGCAGGAAGAATTTGAAAAGGAATTCAGGTAGTATATATTGTTGTGGATTGTTAAAGTGGATCTAGTATAATTCAGTTTATATATTCAAAGTTTCTAAGAGATTTAGAATATTTTACTAAATAATCACATTTCTATCAAAATCACTGATACTTATGCAATATTTTTTTATTTTTGTGAGCAAAAATCCCCAAAAGTTAATTTCTCATTTTTATATGAGAAATCACTTCATACTGACTTATATTTTTCAATATAATGAAATTTTAATCTTCTATCCTTTCCCTAAAAGTCAGTAATTTCTTTCTTATGACTCTGAATATAATTATGCAGCTGGAAAGAGCCCCTTCTAACAGGCATCTGAGTTGTAATGTTTTTGTTCTAGTAAGCCAGTGCCCTAATTATAGGGTAAATAGTGCATATTGTAAGTCACAGTTTAGCTAGTCAGCTAAGAGAAGCTTTAATTATTACAATGTTAAACAATTACCATGACAACACATATCTCTTTCTTCTTTTTCTCTTTTGGAATGACAGTGATAAGTGACATTTTATCCAACCAAACCATGTACAGGCCATCTGATTATTTCTGATCCCATTCTTACCCTTCAAATCAGGAAAGCACCACCCAAGTGCTCTTCCAGTTGGTGAAGGAGAAAATTGCCTCGCCTTATCTAGAACATCAGAGAGTAGCTAGCCATAGTCAATATTACTTGATGCACGCCTCTCTCTGATCAACACCCCATCCTTCTAGCTCAGACCTTTTTCTATGCCATCTTAGACAGCTTTCCCAACTCAACAGAACCTCCAATCCACAGATTTTATTACCATTTCATAATCGCTAATTTCTTAACATATTTTTCCTTCTTTTCCCAGTTTCAACCGCCTGATTAATCATTAAAGATACTCTTATGCACACATCCCCAATTCCCTTGTTGCTGTCTACTTTCTTAGTTCTAGAGCATAACCACAGCTCTGCTTGAATTCAGTTCTTCATCATCGCTACGCCTGCACATGTACAAGTGAATATGACCAGAGCAAAACACGAAACAACTCTCACTGTTTCACTCTAACTTCAAGACCACATTCCTTGTGTAGGCACTAATGCTGCACAACAATCCATTCTCTTGCTCAAATTTAAATTTGCAAGAGGACGATTTCATATCTTCTCACCTTTCATCACACCTTTATCAACTACTTCCTCATTCCCAGCCTCAATTAAAGACCATGCTTCCCTTTCCTGAGAACACTGAAGCAAGGAGCAGGAACTTCCACAGACTCCTGATACCTCACCATCCCTCCTATGAGAATCTGTACCCGTCCACTTTGCCTTCTGGTTGATATTAAATTAACTACCCATGTTTCTATGTGAATCCAATTCCTCCACTTGTAGTCTAATTCCCATTTTTTCTCATGTAGCTTTCAAGAATGCTCCTTTCTGATTCCTGCATTATTAATTCGTCCTCTTGACTGGATCACTACCATCAGCACAACAGCATACTCTTATTGCTCCTGACTTAAAGGAACCTTCTATTCACCCCACTTTCTCTCTGCATACTGCACTGCTTTTAAAGAGGAGATAATGTTTATCAGTGCCAGGAAACAAATACTCTCCAAATCTGAATCTGTTTTGTAAGGTTTTTGTCCCTAACCTTGGTTCAAGCAGCCATCCTACTTCAGAAAAGAAGTTAGTGCATACACCAAATGCATATGTTTCCTAAAGGGGGTTATTCAATCACTTCAAGCACTAGCACAGCATGATTCATGAAGGTTTATTTCAAGGAGATAGATCTCAGTTTCCCACATTGTCCTGGACAAGTACTGCTTCTTGATATCCTGGGTAACTAGATACCTTTTCAACTCTCTCTTGGTGTAGCATCTTGCTTTCCATTCCTTACAGTGTCTTGGATTGGATAACTGCAATCCAGTTATTTTTAGTACTTTTTGAGAGAAATTTCCATCTAGTTTTACATACTTTTATATAATTCTTCACTTCTCTTTTAAAAGTATACGTTGATTGTTCTTTCTGACACTGTGTGATGATTTTAAGAACTACTTTTCTAAACAGCCAAAGTTAATTAATTATAAATCTATCAGCACACATGTCAATACTTATTTTCCATGTGCATTTACCTGCTTTTGTTAACTGGATATGCCATTAGGTTTCCTAATTATTTTCAATAGGCACTTAGAATCCTAACAGTGACTAACCTATATAATTCCTCATCCTCAACAAATTACTTTCCCACTTATTATTCACCACACCTTTATACAACTAATGAATGCCCAGAAAATTGGTCCTCATACCCATGCCTGGGAGTATACCATCAACCTCTTTCTGATATGAGCACAGTGTATATCAACACCTGATGCTGCTTTTTAAAAAGCAAAGTGAAGTGGAGAGATGTCCATCAATCACAAGCATTCACTTGATGCTTATTATGTACCTGTGCAGTGATGGAAATTAGGTTGCACAGCCTTGGTCTCTAAGGATTTAGCATCTATTCGGCAAACAGCTAGGGCTCAATGTTAAGATAATACACAATTAATTGCTGCATTGTATCTTTGGCTTTAAATAATAAAAGATAATAGCTTATAATGGGTAGAAACAGCAGCCTCTCAGATACATTTTCTTTAAAGTTCTTGCAGTAAATAAAAAAAGAGGTCATCATTCTAGAACAAGGAATCAGCATGTGCAAAAAGCACAGAGGTGGAGAGTTGAGGTCTATAGGAGGGTGATAAAAAGACCAAGGTACCGTTTTCACTGGCAACCATGAAAGATTCATTGGAATGGATAAGATGAAGTCATAGCATTCATTTGCTGTTGATTTTTTTTATTCAACAAATACAGGGTGGGGCAAAAGTAGGCTTACAGTTGTGAGTGGGCACAACAGTTTACCCTTGTGTTATTACTTATTGCATTATTTTTCATATGAATAATTGTAAACCTACTTTTGCCCCACCTTGTGTGCCCTGAGTTCCTATAGTGCTTTCCTTAGGTGTCAAGAGCAATATAGAAAAGAATTCGGCAAACTTTCTGCCCAGGAAAGCAGTGTGCAGCTATCTATCTGTGCAGAGGTTTTGCAGCCTTCAAAATGTTATTATGGTAGCTTGGTATTATCAGGTTGGACCAGTTTGAATGTCAGGCTTTTAAGAAGTTTGGTCTACATTTGAATAGACTGACCTGTCACAGTTGTTTTTTTATAAAGGATCTTGGATTCTTCCTCTACAACTTTTCTTAGGTTTCTGTCTTTTTTGTTGTTACTTGCTAATTCCTGATTTTTATTATGCTTTAAACACTATATTAGTTATAAAATAGATGTCTTCTTCTACAGTCTGTCTTATGAACTTTTGCCACATTAATTTTCCCAAAACATACCTCTTTATTGAAGGCAGTCTTGTGCTGCAAATATTTTTGACAGAACAGACTTTGAACATCTTAGCTATGATTTCAAGGCCTCCTCAAATTTCAATTACAGCTGACTTTTCTATTATTCCTCCACAGAACTCCATGTTCTGATTAAGGAAATTTACCTACTGTTTTCTTAGGGAGATTTCTTCTTGTATGTATTTTCACATAAAATGTTTCTATTTGGGATATGCAATCCCTCCCAATTGCCAGCTATGTAAATTCCTAGTTTCCTTTAGCCTCTGCTTACTGGCTGGCCCTCCTCTGTGCCTCAGCTGGCAATGATATTCCTATTCTCTGAATTCTGCATTCTCCACTATACAGATTGCACTTACTGCCTTATATTGAACTTGGTACAAGTATCTTATCTCTGCATTATGTTGCCAACTTTTTTCCCAGCTCCCTTGAATGTACAGAGTGGAAAGAGTGTGAAGAATACACTATTCCCAGGAGAGTAAATATATACTGACTAAGTCTATTGGAGGACTGAACAATCAATCAAGAAGAATGTGTGATGAAGAAATACACAAATGTCTCCTGGGTCGTTTGGATGCCTGGCAGGTTAATGAGGCCAAACGTCCATTTGAAAAGGGAGATGAGAACTTGAAAAACGAAGTTTCTAGCAATGTTGTTAACTTCTGAACAGATCGAGGTGTTAAATATGGAGAGAAAAGTTGAAAGAGTATGACCTTTGTCATCTATTGCCTGAGGCAAATAAAGTAGAGTGTCAACAGCCAACTAGAGCTGGAGTAGCTTGATAAGGTGAGAAAACCAAGCACTGAAGTTAAGTTCACTGTGTATGTGTGTGTGTGTGGTTTGATCTCACTACATCTCAGGGAGAAGTTATCACTTGAGCAGAATAATCTGATTTATAAAAATGCACCATTGATCTATGTGTCTAAGTGGACTGCATAATGAACTCAGCAATTTCCTATTCCTCTCCATATAAGGTAATTTCTAGAATGATAAGGTAATTAATGTAGATGAGAATTTTTGAGAACTAGACATAATCAAGTTCTCTGTAAGGAATGCATCCCAAGGCCAGCCAGATTATAATCATGACTCTAGTCATTCATGATAACCACATATAATTCCCTACTTCTGAGTAGAATGAGCAGCATGATACCCCCATCCTCCAACCTGCAAACTACCTGTCCTTAGCAGACCTGTAACCACCATTTTTGTGGAAAAAAAAAACCCTACATCTGCTTGGCTTTATTGCTTAAAATGTATTTCATCCATCTGGATAAATCTGAATTCTAACTCTTCAACAGCTGCATGACTTTGGGCAACATTTTAAATCTTTCTGTGCTTCAGTTAACTCACAAGCCATGGGGATAATTAACAATGCTCACTTCATGCACACTGATGGAGGATTTGCAGGAAGGATGCCTGGCAAAGTGACTAAATTTCAAGCAGTAAGAAATAACATTATTTTTTTCTTTACCAGCCACTCACATAAACAAGAAAATTCAGGTAGGGGCATATGAGAGGCAACCACATGTTGATCTTTTTCTCTCCTCTTTCTCTCTCCTTTCCCCTCTATAAAAAAATAAATCTAACAAAAAAAACCCCAAGAAAATTCAAAGAGACAGAAGAAATGATATTAAAGTTCTAACAAAATTATGAATTTGTATTTTACTTTTTTCTTAGAAAATATGACATATGTACAATCCAATTGTTATGTTTTTTAAGATTGAGAGCAAGAGTCTTTTTCTGATTTATTCAACTTCACGTAATTACTATGAAATCCAGGGCTACAATGATGTGTTTTCATCCCTATCGTACAGTTTCTACAAACCAGTTCTGTATCCAAGACCAAGTCTTCACACATGTGTTCTTAGTACATACTCTTTCATTCTCCCCTAACTAGGAATAATCAGGTCAACCGTCTCTTTACATTCAGCAGGTAATATTTTAGCAATAGTATTTTGTTTTTCTGAGGTTTCCAAAAAACATCTGGGCAGAGAAAGTCAGGCAATTTTCACAGCTTACCTTGACTTGGCTTCATGAATTGAATCCTTATGTGGAGTGCACTTACAACTAAAAAAGTTGAATAACTCTGAACACTAATAAAGTGACATATATTCATAGCTGTCATTAATATTTTTAAAGTGTTTTATAGTTTAATTGACTGTTTAACCCTGAAATTCCTAGTGTCTTAGTATTTTATTACACAGAATAGTTGGCCAAAATGTGCGGCAATGATAGTAGTGATAATCAAGTACCAACGTGAGATAATTTTAAAGCAGTTTTTCCTGTATATATTAAAAGAGTGTCACACAGGATAATTATTTTACAATTAAATACCCATAATAAATGAATTTAATGAACATATATTGGGGTCATATTACATAAAAATAATAAAAATTTTAAAGTAAATCTAAGGGCTACTTCTCAGGAAAACTTGTCAAAACAATAACTAAATATGAGGCATACCTTGGTTATAGAATTTAAACAGAAAGTATAACATGAAAAAGATACCCCAATATGACCTCCTTATCCCAAAGTTTCTTATCCCACAAATATAAGTATTACTTATACTTTTGTAATTTACTTCAAGAAGAGAATTTATAACAGACACAATCATTTTTAACTTCATGAAAGATATATTGAATACCATATTTTTCCATGTATAATGCTCACTTTTTTGCCCACATTTTTGAGGGAAAAATAAGGGTGCACATTATACATGGGTAGTAACTAATTTCACATCTATATAAATGTTTTTAATTCTTTTATTTATGCTTATACATTAAACGTGTAACTCTAGGAAGCAATAATGATATTTGTGTGTGGAATAATACCTTGGAATATGATAATCAGTTTTGTTTCTAAATATAAATAAATTAAAAATTGAATTAAAAATGTAAATACTCTGGTTTCTCTCCAGATTGTATAAATCTTTTGCTTTTTAGAAAATTTAAATGGAAGCTATTTTTTCCTAATGTTTGGGTCAAAAACATGGGTGCGTACTATACATGGGAGCACATAATACACAGCAAAATATGGTATATTCTTTCAATTCTAGTAGCAAACATGCCCCATTTTTCAATGTGATAGATTTCTAAATACAAAAAAATATGCCACATCAGAAAGCCTGGATGCACCTTAGAGAGGTAGGAATGTAAGATCAGGAGGGGTAGTTAGCAACTTATGTCCCAATAATATTGATTACTGGCTCTAGGTTAAAATTAGTTGCTACTTCTAGAAAATAAAGAAAAACTGCTCCTGTCGTGCTGTTGTTAATTTTAAAGACTATATTAAGTAGAAGAAAATGACTCCTCACAAGGCTCTCTTTTTTCCTTTACAGTTAACACAATCTGAAATACACTATAGCAAATTATTTTCATTCAAGGAAATTTTTGCTGATTTTTCTAGGCTGAGTTAAAATGCACCTCCTGTCCTGGCTGGTGTGGCTCAGTGGCTCGTGTGCCGGCCTGTGAACCAAGGGGCTGTTGATTCTGTTCCCAGTCAGGGCACAGGCCTGGGTTGTGGGCCATGTTGCCAGTAGGGGGTATGAGAGGCAACCACATAATGATGTTTCCCTCCCTTTCTTTCTCCCTCCCTTCCCCTCTCTAAAAATAAATAAATAAAATCTTAAAAACAGAATAAAATGTATCTCCTTATGGAACTCTCTTTCTTCCTTCCTCCTGGGTATTCCTTGGTATGTTCTTGATATTTGACAAAGCTCTTGTGGAACTTGCTATACTCTGCCTAATACATGAGTTTGGTCTGTGTGAGTTCTGAAATTCCCCAGCTGTTCCAGGTTTGTGGTGTCGGTACTGAACAACTGTAACCACTAATCCCTGTGACTGGGCTTGGATTGTGAACTTCTAGATGATTTCATGATATATCTCTTTTCTCGATATTTATTGGTTGAATTAAACTAAATGGAAAGATTGTCAGCAGCATTTATCAACTAATGATATTTCAGGGGAAAGAGTCAATACATAATCTGTCCTACTCATTCCCTCTTTACTCAGTTATGTTTCCTATGTATTGCTCATTTCTCCTGTTTACCATTATTCCTTTCCCACCACAGTTTTTCTCTCTCATGAAATTACACAACACACACACAACACACGCTCAGTTTTATGTGCTGCATCTTTCCTTACCGGGAAGAAGATGTAGGCTCAGTCGTTTGTCTTTGCACACGTGCATGTTTAATTAAATGTTCTTTTAAAGCAGTCTGGACTTCTGCTGGGATATCGGGGGAAGTGTGACTGATTTTTATTGCAGGTTCAATAGCTTTTAGTGCTGGCTTTCCATTTTCTTTGACCTCCTTTTTCTCTTCAGTCTCGAACACTTCAGTAGGAGCACTGATGGTGCTCTGGGGGAGAGTACTGATGTTGGAAGTCATGGGTTTGCTCTTCCAGCAAGGCCAGCACAGCTTCCAGAAGACAAAAAGGGAGACAACCAGCAGAGCCAGGCCACAAAAGCTGACAACAACTGCTAACAAGCTGACCGAAACATCTGTCGAATTAAAACATAAAGCAACATTAGTTCATTGATATGTACATAAAAGAGCAGAAGTGGTGAGGTAATTTTACATTTATAATTATTAATAGACTACTCATTTAGAATTTCAAAAATTCAATATTGTTACCTGTGTAGGGGGAAAAATCAGTAATTATGTCAGAAAATTCTCCAAGGAGATATTTGAAAAATCTCATCCCAGGAGAAGTTTCCAGTTGTATACCAAAAAAGCATAATATATGCATATCATGCCTATTATTTCCAAGGACACGAGAAGGGGTCCAAGAGCTTGCAAAATGAAGGTCCTCAACCAGCAAGCTGCTGTGAAGTCATGAAGCGTAAGAAACTCAGGAACTGCATATGCAGAAGAGCTTCTGTTTGCTTCATCTTTCACCTTCGCACTTTCTGAGCAGGGAATGATGTTACATATTTGCATAAACTACTTTATATAGTGTAAATGAGAGAATGTGTACACTATTTGTTGTAGTTTCAAACTCTCTAGTTTGATAATTTTGCATGCTCTTAATTTGTCTTAAGTTCAAAATTAGTTAATGACTTGTTATCTAAGTTACAAAATTAAAATACACTCATATAAAGAGACCCAAAGGAATATAGCAAAAAAGTTAATAAGATTGAGTAAATGAATAGACAAGAGAGAAGTGACATATCTCTTTTGCAGAAGAACTGCAAACAATTTATGTAGATATTTTGCTCTCAAGGAGGTGGAGCACACATCCTTACTGTGGTGTGGGTTGCGCAGAGTAACTTCCATCCACAGTATAAGGTAAACAGGGGGTAACTTTACAGTGGAGAAGCCTCACCCAGGTTTCATGAGTGATGCGTTGTGTTGATAGTATGTACCCTTGATATAATGTGATGGAAATGACACTTTACCTCTGTGGTCTTCTTCCCCTAAACCTATAACCTGAGTCTCATTGTGAGAAAAATATAAGACAAATTGCAGTAGAAGAGCATGCTACAAAATACCTGACGAGTACCCTTCACAACTGTCAAGGTCATCAAAAATACAATCAAGTCTGAGAAAACTGTCACGGCCAAGACTGAGGATATGTGACAACTAATACAAGAAAATGTGTACTTCCTTCCCAATGTGTCTACACATCCTAAACCATTCTAAAAAGTAAAGTCTATTTTGTAAAAGTAAGTATCCCCCTAACTGCTTCAATTTTCATATCCCTAAGATAAACAAAACTAGCAACCAGTGCTTGTTCTACCACTCTTAAAGTTCTGAGGGTCAAAGAGATTTCCTATAAAGGGAATTTTTTTCTAGATTCAAATAATTTTGTAATATTTTTTACAACTCAGGCTCAGTGTCAAATATGAATCTAATTTCTTTTGTTTGTTTTAAATAAAATGGTTAAGAATATGTTATAGGCTGAGTTATGTCTGTTCCTCTACCCCCCAACCAAATTCGTATGTTGAAGCCTTAACCCTCAGTACCTCAGAATGTGACTGCATTTACAGATAGGGCCGTTAAATTAGTAATTAAGGCAAAATTAGGTCATCTATGGCTGGGCCCTCATCCAGTAAGACCAGTGTCTTTCTAAGAAGAACAGATGAGGACAAAGGCACTCACGGGGCGACCCCGTGAAGACACAGGGAGAAGGCAGCCCTCTACAAGGTAAGACAGGAGGCCTCAGAAAAAATCAAACCTCCCTACACTATGATCTCAAACTGTTAGTTTCCACAACTTGAGGACAGAAGTTTCTGCTGTTTAAGCTACTCAGTCTGTGGAACTTTGTTAGGGCAGCCTTAGAAAACTAATACAGAATAAATATAATTTACTTTAACCACCCCTGTAAATTCAGCAGGTTCTTCCCTTCCCCGGAAATAACCACTGATCTCAGTTGAGTGTGGATCTGTCCAGTCCAGGCACTAATACACAAAAATGTACAAATATGTAAAAATACAGAATTGTTTAATATATTTTACATAAATGGTTTACTGCATATTTCTCCGATTTGCTTTATTCTTTTATTCAGCAATACTTGAATATAACTTCATGTCATTTGAGGTCTGACTTCATCATGGTGAGTATTTAGCTTATGCATGATGTTTTCCTTTTTTTTAATTTTATTTATTTATTTTTAGAGAGGGAAGAGAGGAAGAAAGAGAGAGAGAAAGAAACATCAATGTGCAGTTGCTGGGGGCCATGGCCTGCAACCCTGGCATGTGCCCTGACTGGGAATCGAACCTGTGACACTTTAGTTCAGATGTTTTCCTTTTACAACACAGCTACAATGAGCATCCTTATACCCTCTTCCTTATGCATGTTCGTGAATGTTTCTCTAAGGTAAGTATCTATGAATAGAATTGCAGGGTCATAGCTTATGCATGTACTTAGTTTTATTAGATATTTCTAAAATGTACCCTGGAGTGGCTGTAATAAAAACATCATATGAGTTTGGCAGATCCTACAGTCTCAGAGAAATATTGTTGTGCTTTAGTTTTCCCTGATCGAATGGGGAAATGATACCTTGTTTAAATTTATATTTTTCTGATTGGTAAAATAAAATGGTTCTGTTTAAACTCCTGATTCATAGCTAATGGAACTCTATTCAGAAACTGAAATAATTCCTAGTTTTTATTGCTACTCAATTATAAGGTTAAAAATTAATTTTGACATGCTGTGATACAGAGACATTAATATTTTCCTCACTTTTCAGTTGCTTATTCAAAAAATCTCCATTGAATATATTTTCCATTTATATTCCACTGGTAAGGAATGTGTGACTATTTTTTACAGTTTGTAGTTCACTTTATTTTTACTTTTTATTTTCATTAGTATCATACTTGTGGAAAAGGGTAAAAGCATGAAATTAATGTGCTTCCTGAATATTATATTTTCTTTAAAATTTAATTTTTATTATATTTTTTCCATTACCATTTTGTCTCCTGTTATCTGCCTCTGCCCAGCAATCACCACACTGCTGTCCATGTCCATGAGTCCTTTTTCCTTTTTGTTCAATCCCTCCACCCCCAATAACCCCCTAAATAGCTGTTATCTGCTCTCCATCTATAAATCTGTCTCTATTTTGCCTGTTAGTTCAATTTGTTCATTAGATTCCACATATGAGTAAAATCATATGGTATTTGTCTTTCTCTGATTGACTTATTTCACTTAGCATAGTGTTCTCCAGGCCCATCCATATTGTTGCAAAGGGTAAAATTTTTTTCCTTTTTATAGCCAAGTAGCATTCTGTTGTGTAAATATCCATAGTTGTTTTTTTTTAGTTTATTTTAATCATTGTTCAAGTATAGTTTTCTATCCTTTATTCCCACCCCAGCTCACCCACCCATCCCTCCCCACCTCCCTCCCATTTCCACCCCACCTACTTTTTGTCCATATGTCCTTTATGCTTGTTCCTGTATACCCTTCTCCCTTTCCCCTGAAATTCTCCAGACATTCCCTCCCCTCCCTCCTCTGGTCACTGTCAGCCTGTTCTCTATTTCAGTGTCTTAGGTTATAATTTGCTTGTTTGTTTATTTTGTTGTTTAGATTCCTGTTAAAGGTGAGATCATATGGTATTTATCTTTCACCGTCTGGCTTATTTTGCTAAGCATAATGCTTTCCAGTTCCATAGTTATTTTATCCCCTCATCTATTGATGGACACTTGGGCTGCTTCTATATCTTAGTGATTGTAAATAGCACTGCTATGACCATAAGGGTGCTTATGTTCTTTCGAATTAGTGTTGTGGGTTCCTTTGGCTATATTCCCAGAAGTGGAATCACTGGGTCAAAAGGCAGATCCATTTTTGATTTTTTGAGGTATCTCCATATTGCTTTTCACAGCAGCTGCACCAATCTGCATACCCACCAACAGTGCAAAGGGTTCCTCTTTCCCCACATTCTTGCCAGCACTTGTTGTTTGTTGATTTATTGATTATAGCCATTTTGACAGGTGTGAGATGGTATCTTGTTGTGGTTTTAATTTGTATTTAACTATGTACATTAACTATGCTTTTAAAGTGGAGGAATAAAGATGACAATTATGGTTTCCTAATCTTTATTTTCAGCTCCATTCTACCTGGAAGTTACTGGGTAACTTCTACCCAGTTGGAGCCAAAAGCCAAGATATAAGAAAACTGTGGGGCAATGTGAGGTAGGGGAAAGAAGGAAGTAGTTTTCAGCTATAACCGAAAACTCCTCCCATCTTACTAATGGGGTCAGGCATTAGAGAGCTTTTATTACTCCATCTGCAAAGATTTTATAAAATTCTTTTATAACACTGTTCTGTAGTGATGGGCTTTGGCATTCATAAGGTTATTCTCATCCTAAGAAAAAGCTCTGGAGAAATCACTGACTCCAGTTCCATTTTCCTTATTGCTGACCATTTTCTTTCTAAAATCAATATCTGGTTCTGTCATTTGGGGAACCATAAAACATTTCAACCAAGTCACTTCTGAAAGTGAACACTGTGCTATCAATAATTCCAGGGTAGCATCAAGAAACCAAGTCATGTCCTGGCAATCGAGATATAGTCACCCTAGCACTCTCAGCCTAATAAACTTCCGGGTCACCCCTTAGCCGCCTGGGGCAATCCAAACTTTGCATAGCATTCCACAACATCTTTGTGATTTGACTCCTGGCTATTGACCCAACTTCATTCTTCTGTCACTCCTTACCCTGACTATTCCATTACTTGTGCATGAATTTGTTCAGGCTGTTTCATGTAGTTCCAGTGCATTTTCTTCTCCTATTTGGCTGCCTGGCAAATTTCTATTCATCCTTCAATAATGAGTTATAATAATACCTCTTCCCTGAAGCTCCTCTTGCTCCTTTTATTCTTACAGGCTTTTAAAACACACCCACCACTCTAATGCTAGTATAATAATAATCCATTGGCCTATAATCCTTTGCCCCACACTCTTGGAACCTGATGTGTTTGAAAAATTATTATTTACTTTTGGATATTACAAAGGTAATATAGTATACATTATCTGGGATAACATCAGTAATAAAACATACTAATAT